AGATAGGAAGCAAGCAGGTTTGACAGCAAAAATAAACGACACTCCACACCTTGTCATTATTATACAGACGTGTTTGTAACGAAATTAAGATGTCTGTGAATAAACATTAGTCCTACTTCGAGCTGGTATGACGTGAATAGCAGTCCATAGCTTACGACCACGAGTTGCATTTAGACCAACTACTTGCACAGTAGTAATTTGTGGATTTAGTCGACCATAAATCCAACAGTCCAAACGCTGATTGCAATATGATGTTGACGTAAGACGCTGTCTGTAGTGGATATTGCATGCACATGGACGCAACGGAAATCCGGCGGCGGATTATATTTATTAACATGTTTCCGGATCCGTGAAACGAGATCAGCAAGTTTAAAAATCAACCTCGATTAGGGACGATTTCAAACTAATTAAAATTTTCCATATTCAGTTTGTGTAAGAGATTTCACGTGTCCACTGAATTAGCTGTTAGGAATTGTGAACGCGCATAATATACGAGAAGTTAATAATAATTAGAGGGGGATAACAATGGAAATAGAAAGCCGACGGTGACTCGAAATTCATTATTTGCAACGTGTTCGGAAGGTGTGGAGATGTATCCTCGTTAGTCAAGCATTATTTAAACTGGATAATGGCTGACTGACATCTGAACCAGGAAACTCTCTCAACTGTTCATTTCCGATCCGATCCGGTAATGTAAATTAAATCGGAAAGAGATGATAGTTCGAAGAACGTGAGAAACAAACGTTTTCAGATATGCAGTTGTTGCAAAGTATCCGATTATTCATACTATTCAAATGAACCGGTCGCCTGAAAATTTCATCTGCTAAAAGAAGAGATTCCGGAGATGAAATCACGATAATCAGATTAAGAGTAGCCGTTAAATCTTCTCAAGTTCATCCATTCGCGGCGTGAATTCGTGCTTTGTTACGCGGCGATACCGAAACGCGGTAACAAAATCTCAGCTAAATTCTATTTCCGGTTAGGTCTGGCTGCAGGCCAACGAACCCGACACCGTTTACGAAACTTATTTAATTATTTTTCTATCAACCGAACGGAAGCTCCGTTGTAGAAATGCGAACACGGCAAGAGAGAGAGAGAGAGGGAGAGAGATGGACAGTTACCGCAAACTTATTTAATTATTCCACTAGCGATCAATGCGATCGTATTTCAAAGCAGACGTCGAAGCAGCGCTATTAGACACGGGGCAACAACGAAATTAGACAGACTAGGGAGTAATTTATTTTCAGCATCGAAGATTAAACAGCTGGACCGAAAGAACTCGATTCGAATTCCACGGGAATCCGGCTGTGCTAGAATTCCCGTTGGCGAGAGTGGATGGGAATCGAAGGATACGTGGGATCCGACCTCTAATCTAACGTTGAGGAGCACCGGAGGGCTCCGGCCGAGGGAAACGGTAAATTAATCCGCGAACGACAAGCCCAGTAGTCGGTTCGTTTCTACCCGCTTTCACCGAATAAACATCAATGGCAGGCAGAAATTTGACCGGCGGATGCGACGTCGCCGTTGCGAATGTCGGTTTCCAGGTCTCGGCGCATATCCGGAATTCATGCATGCGGCTAAAGCCCCGTTCGTTCTCCCTCTTGGACCGTTTTCCCCCCCCCCCCCTCCCGCGCCCCGCACCCACCGTCGTCTGCATCGGACGTCGCGCAAGAGATTTCCCTCCACACAGACTCACCGGTCTAACCGTGTCGATCGCAATCCGCGAAACTGGCTGCGATACGAATTGATATCCAATTTGGGCAACCAGCGAAATTAGCGAGGTTAACTGCTTTTGCACCGGACGCTCGCCCGACTGCGTTCCAATCTCGAGTTTGCCGAGAAACGTCTGATGATTGACTTCCACGAAACGGAACTGAATCCCAGAACCACGAGGAAACATCCTCTCCTTATTTTCTTTCTCAAGATGTATTTGTATAAAATATTTGATTGAAACGAGATGTGTTTCGTATTTGAAAAATTCTTCCTGGATCTTAATATTTCGTTTTAGAATATTAAAAATACAAATGAATCTCCTCAATAAACTGATAATAAAGACCCTAGTCTGTCTAATCTGTTATATCGTATCTATCATTCATTTGTACGAGTCGAGTAGCACACGTCTACATTATAAGACTTTAAGAATGTATTGGCTATACAGTCAATCCCAAAAG